ACGCGCGTCAGGCAGCCTCGCTCGAGGAGTACGTCAGCAGGCCCGAGTCTTTCTGGCAGTGGGAGCTGCCGCCGTGGTGGACGCCGATCAACCAGCTCCTAGGGGCCAAAGAGTCTGAAACCTGGACGGGCCACCACAAAGGCTGCCTGAGGCGATTGGCGTCGCTGGCCAGCTGGCCCCAGGCCCGTCTGGCGAGGCATGGGCGTGAGATAGACCCGCTCTGCAAGCTCTGCGGCGCCGCCCCTGGGACGATGCACCACAGACACCATGTGTGCCCAGCTTGGGCGGCCTGGAGGAGGGACTATTGCCCATGCCAGGTGAGTCAGGCAGCAGTGCAGGCCCACCGCATGGGGCCCCCCTTCGACGAGCTTTTCAGCCAGGGGCTCTTCGCCGACATCAGCCTGTTGGTGGCCAGACCAGCCTGGAACGACTGCTGGGCGAGACGATCCTGCGGGTGGGGGGGCGGCATCCTGGTGGTACCCGATGGGTCTTTCGTCTTCACCGACGGTTCGTGCCTGAACGGTGATTTCCCGCACGTCAGGAGCGCGGGCTGGGCGGTCATCGTGTGCGGTCCAGAGGGGAGGCTCATCGCCGAGGCGTGGGGCGCAGTGCCCCCCAGCGACCTCCCCTCGCAGACGGCCAAGGCGGGCGAGGACTACGCTGCCGCCATCGGCCTCGCCGACATCATCGGGAACTACACGCTGCTCAGCGACTGCCTGAGCACGGTTAAGGCTGCGTCTAACCTGGCCAAGGCCTGCGGCCCCAGCTCCCTACACGCCCACGTTTGGGCCAGGGTAGGCGATGCGGCGGAAGGCGTCACCATGCGCCACGTGCCCGCCCACCGCACTGAGGCCGCGGTGCAGGACGGGGATCTCGCCCTCTTCGAGCTAGTGGGCAACAGGCGCGCCGACACCAGGGCAAAGGAAGGAGCGGCTCTTCACGCCATCGCGGAGCAGGACGCCCTGATGTTGGAGGGCTGCCTGGCTCGGGCGAAGGAGGTGGCCAGGTGCGCGGCGGCCCTCGAGGTGCACATCACCGAGTCGGGGCTCAGAGACTCCTGGCCGCTCACCTCCCTGGACCTCGTGGACCTGGACCCCTACGCCCCGTCGCCCGCCCTGGGGCTGCTGTTGGAAGCTGAAGAGTCGACTGCTCGTGGCCCCGGCGGCATGGCGGCCCTGGGGGCGGCAGCAGCGCTGGCGACGGCAGCGGCGGCCAGACAGGGAGCCCAGTCCCAGGACCAGGCTGACTCGGAGGACTACAAGAGGAAGGGAGCGGACGAGGGGCCAGTCGGGCCCAGTGAGCCAGTCGCTGATGAGTCGAGCGCGTCGGCGGCTTTGCTTCGTGCGGTCCAGCGTCGCCGCGCAGAGAAGGCGGCGAGGACAGCACCCTCAGCCGCGGGCGCACAGTGCCGCCCGCCCGTGTCGGCGGTGTCGCAGCCCCCTCCCCCTCCTTCCTCTGCGGCCTCTCCTTCTTCTGCGGCCGCAGTCCTTCCGCCGCGTGCTCTCTCGGGCCCTCCAGGCCAGAGGAGGACCCCAGGGCACCTTTTGGAGACCCCTGACTCGGGCCAAAGGTCGAGGGTCTCCGTTTCGTGTGTTTCGCGTGATGGCCTGTCCCAGGTCGACCCTGGCGAATCGGGAGTCTGGGAGGTCAACGGCCACCGTCTTCGCGAATCGCGAGTTTCTGGCGGAGACGGCCCTGAGTTTTTGGTGTGTGTGTGGCGTGCTGGATGTATTGCCTGAAGCCCCAGTATTGCCACAGGGGCCTGGCCAAGGCCTGCAGCGGGGCCCAGCGCGCTGACGACCCCAGGGCCAAAAAGGGCTCCAGGGCGCAGGCGCGCAACGATTTCGCGAAGTCGATCCTGCCTGGGAAATCCAAGCAGCCGATCGACCAGCTGGCGCGGCCCACAGCGGCCACCCGTGCCAGGTGGGCCGAGGCGCTAGGCTCGGTCGCGGGCCCTGGGGGCGTGGGGGACTCCGAGGCCCCTGCTGGCTCCAGAGCCCCAGCTGTGGAGCCCCCAGTGCTGCGGGATCGGGCACCTGCCCCGCCTGCCCCTGGGAGGCTGTTTCGCCCAGGGCTCGAGGGAGCCCTGAGCTCCTTCGGCTTTGCCTGCGCGGCTGACGCACAGGAGCGAGGCAGGGTCGCCAGGGCGGCCAGGTCGGCGGACCCCAGGCCAGTGGTCGGTCTGAGCGCGGAGTGACGGTCGCGCTTCGGGGTCTGGGCCTGGGCGGCTGCGGGCCCGTGCAAGCTCTGTTTGCGGGGCCGTGAGACGGCGTCCGAATTTGTTTGTGCATGACAAGCCCCAGGGTGATAGGATAAAAAAAATGCTCTCACCGTGCCGGGATGGCCCCGAAGGTGGGCCGAGATGGCACCCGAGCCAGTCAACCCCAACAGGCCCGACGGGGCTTGTGCATGCCTTCAGAGGCCACAGCGGGCGCCAGCGTTCGCTTGAGAGCGCCCCCGTATGCCCCCGAGACGCCCCCACCTCCTCGCCACCACCTCTTCCTGCCTCTCGTCGCTCCCCTGTGCGTGCCTCGCGCGCTTCCTAGTTATGTTTCCTTGCGTTTTTTTGGGGGGCTAACCGCCCTTTTTCTTTCGGCCCCCCACGTGTGTCCCCCCCCGTTCCCCCGATCCGCTGTCTCATTTTATGAACCTAGGCGCGCGTGTGACACACACAGACACACACGCACACAGACATAGAGACACACACACACACCCAGAGACACCCAGACACATACAGGCACACACATAGACACACACACAGACACAGACAGAGACACACAGAGACACACACAGACACACAGAGACACACACACAGACACACACAGACTTACACACATACACGCGCAGACACAGACAAACACACACACACACAGACACACAGACACACACAGACACACATAGATACACAGACATACACAGGTACACACAGACACTCAGAGACACGCGCAGACACGCACAAACACACAGAGACACACAGAGAGACCCTGAGACACAGAGACGCACATATATACACAGAGATACACAGAAGCACACAGAAACACAGAGACACACTTTGACACACACAGACACACAGAGACACACCGACACACAGAGACACACAGAGACACACACAGACACACACACACAGACACACACAGGCACACACAGACACACTCAGTCACACACACAGACACACACAGACACACAGACACACACACACAAACAGGCACACACAGACACACGACATAGACACATAGGCACACACGCACAGACACGCACAGACTCACACGCACACGCACGCACACACACGCACACACACACACACACACACGCACATTTACGCACGCTCGCGCACGCACACGCACGCACACGCACGCACACGCACGCACGCACACACACACACACGCACACACACATGCACACACACGCACACACAGCCCCCCTTGGCACCAGGCTGAGGGGCCTAGGGTGGGGCGCGGCCTCGAGGGGGCCCTTTCGCTCTGCACCCTGGGGAGTTCGGCGGGGGCGCTGCCCGCGGCTCGGCTCCGCACAGGCTCGGCAGGCGATGACCTTCGCTCGAGAACCCAGCGCACGGGCCTGGCGAGGTGTAGACGCCCCAGGCACCAAGGCACCAAAGCACCAAAACACACACGCACACACATTCACACACAGCACACACACACACACGCACGCACATATTCACACACACACACACGCACACGCACACGCACGCACACACAGGCATGCACAGACACACACACAGGCACACAGACACACAGGCACACACAGGCACACACGCACAGACACGCACAGACTCACACGCACACGCACACACGCACACACACGCGCACGTTCACTCACGTTCACGCACGCACACGCACGCACACGCACGCTCACGCACGCGCACACACTCACGCACACTCACGCACACACACACACGCACACACGTGCACAAACACACACACACACACACACTCACATACACACATTCACACATTCACACACATGCACATTACACACACCCACACACCCACACACACACACTCATACACACGCACACACATTCGCACACGCACACGCACACACAGACATACACCTTGGCTTTGCTGCCACGCGCGCAGCAACATAGAGGAATCAGGCGTGCTGGAGCAGCGGAATGGTTCCTTTGAAGGACCCTGCGGCGGCCGCGTCCAGGCAATCAGAAGGCCCAGAAGGGGACTCGGAGGGCTCAACCACAGGACACACACATGAATCCATCACTATGCAAGCATGTGCGTACTTGGTTGCAAAGCTACAGAGGCTGCAACATGTTTTTTTCGTGCAGTGTGCTCCGACCGACCTCTTTACATATTCTATATGTTCGTGTATCAGTATATAGTTCGATATACATATATTGCGTCATAGGTGCCATGTGTTCTATACATGTATTACCAATGTGCCTGCGAGATGCACCAATCCTTTGCTGACCCATGTCAGGTTTAATTTCAGATAGCAAATTGATTATTTGACGTACGTGGTTTCCAGAAAGCTCTCGCAGCTCGCTCGCACTCGTTGATGGCCAGTCTTATGGGGCCCTTCCCATCATCGTCTCCCTCCCTCATTGTTGTGCGTCGCCGCGTCTATCTCTCTCTCTCTCTCTCTCTCCCTTGTTTACCGCGTTCTCTGTATCACCTTCGCTCTTTTTCTGTTGATTCTCTCTCTCTCTCTGTCTTGCTCCCTCTCTCCCCACGCTCACAACACAGACTAAACTGCCCAGGCGAGCATCCCATGCCCAGCCCCTGCTCTCCCCTCCTCGTTGTTCTTGTGCTTCTTTCTCTTCGTCGTCGTCCCCCTCCTCCTTCTCCCTTAGGATCAGTAATCCAGACCTCTGGAGAACCGCTCGAAACTCCGTAAATCCCGTGACCCAGCAACAACCCACTAATGATTCTCTTTAACCTGAGTTCTTCCTCTTCCCCCCTCCTTCCTCCCTTTCTCCTCTTTCTTTCCTCCTCCTCCCTCTCCTCCTCCTCCCTGTGATCGAGGATGTCATACGGCCAGTTTGGGATCGAGGTGACTTTTGTCCCAGAGGTGATCCGGTACTCGAGGGACCGGATCGCCTACACGTCCCGCAAGGAGACGAGGGATAGGATGGATGCAGAGAGCGGGGGAGGGAGGAAGAGAAGAGTTGGAGGAGGAGGCGGAGGAGGAGGAGGAGGAGGAGGAAGATGAGGGGGAGGGAGGACGAGGAGGGAGGAGGGAAAGTGGGAGGGAGGAATGGGAGAGAGGAGGGCGGAGGAGCGAGGAGAAATGACGAGGACTGAGCTAGGGTGGGAGGGTGGGAGGGCCGCGCTTAAGGGAATGGAGGGAGGGGGGGAGGGAGGGATGATAGTTATAATGATGGCGAGTGTGGGGGAGGAGGAGGAACACTCTATACTGATCAGAGTAATAATAACAATACTCGTACTCCTACCACGACTGCTACTAGTACGAGTCATGCTCATCTATCTGTGTATAGATGTATGTAGGTATTTATATATCTACATATGTACATGTCTATGTCTGCATATCTATATAGGGATATGTATATGCATATATATATATATATATATATATGTATGTACACATTCACACAGGTATACATATATGTGAGTATTGAAAGGAATAACCAGACTACGGAAACCATGTTACTGATAATGAGAGGGAGAAGCCGAGGGGGGAATAGCTGGACAAGTTTGATGTCAAGGAGGTGCAGGACGAAGTGGGGGAGTGGGAGTATTTTGGGATGGAGTTGGGGAAGGAGCAGGGGCTGGGCAACTGGAACCTGGTGCCCCAGGGCCGTTCCCTGGCACTTTTAGAAGTTTGGCTGTCTGAGTGCTTTCCACCTCCGAGGGCCCTGTCAGGGATCCCTCTGGCCTCTCGGCGGTTTCGAGGGGCCTCGTGGGGACTCCTGGGACGTGTTGAGGTCTTTGCAGGATCTTTGGGCCACCTTTTGGCCCTTCCTGGGGAACCTTGCGGTCATCCTGGTGCGGTCTTGGGCCACCTCGGTGCCGAAGGGCGCCAGAGAGCAACACGACGGAGCGCGATCTGTTACGACGTTGTCCTCGCCAGGTGGGGCCGGGCGCCCCTTCTTCTGAAGACGAGGGGGAACCCTGCCAGGCCGCCGACATCGTGCAGCGTGTCGCGCCCCGACGTGCCGTTGGCACGGATTCACACTCGAGTTTTGGTGATGGGCACCAAGCTACATGTCTTATGTGTGAAGCGCGCCAGGCAATAAACAAGCGCCGCCCTGGGACGCGCGATGGGAGTCCTCGCCTTCCTTCCGCAGGCCATCTGCACCTATAGGGCCAGATAGGGGCATCGGGCGAGGGTGGGTGGATGGGGGGGATGAAGGGGAGGTGCGGAGAAGAGGGTGCTCTGGGAGAGAGGGTGTGGGCTGTGGCAGGAGGGGGGTGGCGGAGGAGTCAGACGGGGGCTGGGCAGGGGGGCTTGGGGGCCTGGGGGGGAGGGAGAGGCGGGCATGAGAGGGGGAGGGGGTGGAGGGAGCGGGGGGGGGGTAGTTGGAAAGAAGGACGGGGGGACGACAAGGAGTGGAGGGTGGCGGGACGCCTGCTGGAGGGGGGGGGGGCGGGCACCCCTCGAGTGCGCGTGCCGCTCGAGGGAGCGGGAGCGATGAGCGCTCCGCCTCCGCGGATGGGTTTGCCGTCACGGAGCGCCTCGGGTTATGAGAGGATTGGTGGTGTGGAGGGGGGTGGGCAGGAGAAGGGTGGTGATGAGATGATGATGCTGAGGCTGATGATGATGATGCTGATGATGATGTTGATGATGATGATGATGCTGATGCTGAGGATGATGACGATGATGATGTAGATGTTTATTATGATGCTGATGGCGGTGGTGGTGATGATGATGCTGATGCTGATGATAGTGACGCTGATGATGACGATGTTGATACCGATACGAATGATGATGATTATGGTGGTGATGCTGCTGATGACGATGATGATGGTGATGCTGATACTCATTGTGATGATGACGAGGCTGATGACGACTATGATGGTGATGCTGATACTGGTGATACTGCTGATGAGCATCACGATGACTGTGACGTCGATGCTCATACTGATGATGATGAGGGTAACGATGATGATGGGTATGGTGATGGTGGTTGTGTTGGTTCTGACGGTGATGATGATGGTTCTGATGACGGTTTCGATGATGACGACGATGATGAAGGTGAAATTGATTATGATGATGCTGATGCTGATGACGATGATGAAGACGCTGAGGACGATGCTGGTGAAGAGGAGACGCAGGAGGATTGTGAGGATGATGCAGGCGACCATTCTGTTTTTGACGACGATGATGGCGACCATGAGGAGACTGTTGCTGATAATGATGATGCTGATTCTGATGATGATGCCGTTTTTGTTGATGATGCTGAGTCGGCGGTGGGTTGGTGATAATGGTAGTGACGATGCTGCTGATGAGGATTATGCTGCTTATGATAATGACCATGATGATGTGGTGGTGCTGGTATCGGCGAGTCTGAGTATAATGCAACTGCTGGTGATGATGGTTTTGGTCATGATGATGACGCTGCTGCCGTTGGTGATGTTGATGATGCGGATGATGCTCATGAGCATGACGATGATAATGGTGATTATAGTGATGATGATGAAGAAACGCATGATGATGCTGAGGATGCTGATGATGATGATGATGATGATGCTGATGATGATGATGATGATGATGAGGATGATGATGATGATGATGATGATGATGATGATGATGCTGATGGGTGTGGTGTTGGTGTTGGTGGTGGTGGTGACGATGATGACTATAATATCGAATATGGTGGCGATGACGACGACTCATATTCTTATGTTAATGGTAGCGGTCAGGATGATGGCTGCAGCGCGCAAAGCGCATCTTAGCATTCCTACGAACAGAGTTGGTGACCGAAAAGTTGGTGACCGAACAAGTTGGTGACCGAAACTGTGTCCGAAATTGTAACCGACAGAGTTGTGTGACCAAACTTGTGACCGACGTTGTACAGTGTTATGGTTTCGAGCCAAGAATGTCTGTCACACCCTGGCGCTTTCCGAAAACATCAGGCGCCAGTTACGGTCACACGGGCAGATTTTCGGGCATGGTTTCGGTCAGTACGCCCCCCTGATAAAACAACGAGGCTGCGTGAATGATGATGATGATGATGGTGATGATGATGCTGATGATGCTGATGATGATGATGATGATGATGATGATCCTCCTCCTCCGGAGGAGGAGGATTCTGATGAGGAGGCTGGGGAGGTTGTGGGCGGAGAAGGAGATTATGCTGATGATGCTGCTGATCATGATGCTAATGACGCTGCTGAGGATGACGACGATGATGCTGCTGCTTTTCATGATTAGGATGATGCTGATGATAATGAGGAGGATGATGACGATGATGGTGATGATGATTAGGAGGATGATGACGATGAGGATGCTCATGATAATGAGGAGGATGATGACGATGGTGATGATGATGAGGAGAAGGAGGGTAATGATACTGAGGCTGATGCTGATGGCGATGATGATTTGAGGTTGACAATTATTATGATGATGCTAGGGCTTCTGGTGATGATGATGCGATGGTAATGATGCTGATGCTGCTGTTGCAGATGATGATGATGATGATCATGAAGAAGTTGAGTATGCTGATGATGATGACGAGGATGATGGTGAGGATGATAATGTTGCTGCTGCTGATGATGATGCTGATGATGATGGTGTTTGTGATGGTGGTGATTCTGATTAGATGCTGATGGTGATGATCCTTCTGACGACGATGATGATGCTGATGATGATGGTGATGCTGATGATGGTGATCATGACGATTATGATGATGAAGCTGATGCTGATGCTGATGCTGATGCTGATGATGATGCTGATGATCCTAATGATAATACTAGTGAGAATAAAACTGATGGTAATGATGATGATGTTGATGATGATGACGACGATGATGATGATGATGATGATGATGATGATGATACTGATGATGTTGATGATGATGCTGATGATGCTGCTGCTGATGATGATGATGAGGAGGAGGAGGAGGAGGAGGAGGAGGAGGAGGAGAAGGATGAGGAGGAAAACGGGGGGGAGGTGTAATCGGGACGACTGCTGAGGACCAAAGACAGCAAGAGTTGGAGGAGGATGAGGATGAAAAGGAGGATAAGGACGAGCAGAAGGATGACGAGGAGGACGACGAGGAGGAGGAGGAGGAGAAGGAGAAGGAGGAGAAGGAAGCCCGGGAGCCCCCAACCCCCACAGATGCCCTTTCCTTCGCTGTACAACGCGGCCAAGGAGTCGATGGAGGGGTACACGAGCCAGTACAGGCCGCTTCCCCCTCTTCACTCCTGCCCTCCCCTTCCCCCTGCTCGCTGCTGCCCTCCCTTCCCCAAGCTTCCTGTCGCTGCGCGAGCGCCGTGAAAGCGGGGGCGCGCGTGGCCGCAGCGCGGCCGTCCTGTGGGCGGCGCGCGCGAGTGGGCGAGGCGCGCGAGGCGCGGACCCGTGGCACCCTGCGGCGAGGCGCGTGTCCCCCCTGGGGCCCCTGGTCGCTGCAGGGTCCCCAGCGTTCGCCGCCCGGCTCGCGGCCCCCTGCTGAGAGAAGCCCACGCCCCCAGGGGTTTTCGCATGCCGCCCCGCCGGGGGACTCCATCCGTCCATCCGTCCTGGGAGGAGCCGGCGGCGCCCGGGCCCTTCCGGCCCGCACCTCCCCGGCGGAAGCCGTGGGCGCCATGCCCACCGCGTCTCGGGCCGCGCGGCCTCGCCGCCGCCCGGGCTGCGCTCCTCGCCGTGCGCTCGCCGTGCGCGCGAGCGGCTCTGCGCCGCCCCTCCTTGCCGCCTCTCTGCGGCAGGTGGCCCCCGCGCGGTGTCCCGCGGTCGCTGGATCGACGAAATGGTGTCGCCCAGCGTGGGTCCCGAGCAGTGATGTCTTGCAGTATGTGCGCTGCAGTCTGGGTGGTGCAGTCCGTGTGGTGCAAATCTATGTGGTTCAGAGCGACGCATTGCGCAGCAGTTCAATGCACACTCATACACCGGAGTGCAAAACAGCGCAGCGACATGCAATGCACAGCAATATAGGACATCGCAAAGCAGTACAAGGCGATGAACATCAATGCGACGCAACGCCAAGCAATGCAACACAATCCAAAGTGATGCAGTTCAGTGCCACGTAAAGCAAGGCAGTGCGACGCAATGCAAAGCAACGCAACATAATGTAAGGCAGTGCAACGCAATGCAGAACACTGCAAACAGCATCAATGCAATACGATGTAAACAACGCCAAGCGATGCACAGCAATGCTAAACAATGCAACGCAATGCAATTCAATGCAGTTCAGTGCACAGCACTGCGCACCAACGCGAATCAATGCAACAGCACTGCAACATCAATGCGAAGCATTTCAAAACCAATGCGACACAATGCAAATCAATGCAAACTGCTGCAAAACAAATGCAATGCAGACCAATGCAAACGAACTCAATGCAAAGGAACGCAAACACAATGCAACGCATTGCAACATAATGTACTAGCATAAAGCACTGCGAACTCGTCCAGAGCAGTGCAACAGCAGTGCAGCGCAACACAAAACAAAACGTAAGGCAAATCAAGGCAGCGCCATGTCACGCGATGGAAAACGATGCAGAGGCAAGCGAGGCAGCGCAAAGCAAGGCGAGGCGACGCGGCGACGGGCTGCGACGAGCCTGCTCGACCGCCACCGGGACCCAGCGGCGACGGCGGCGACGGGGGGCGACGGGCGGCGACGAGCTGGGCGCACCGCCGCCGGGGCCCAGCGGCGACGGCGGCGACTGGCGGCGACGAGCCGGCCGGACCGCCACGGGGACCCGGTGACCTGAGGACAGTAGCAGGAGCTCCGCAGTGCAAGCACTGTTTGGATAACAGTCGCATGCCCGTGAACTTTCGGAGTTCCGCACCGATCTTGGCGGCCGCACTTTCGGAGCGCTGGACCACCCTGGCGGCGCCTCTGGCGCCGCTCCTGGCGCGCTCCGCGCGCCAGGGAGGCGCTCAGGGCCGATCCAAGAAATCCAAGAAATACGTGTTTGGGCTGCTTATGCCGTCTTTATCTCGCTCCATTTCGGCAGGCGCCCTGTGGCCCCCAGGGATGTCTCGCGACCGCCCAAGTATGAACGACCCACGCGGTGTCACGGCACGAACCTTGCCGCACATGAGTGCGTTGCTCGAGGAACAGGCAAAAACGCGAGAAACATATGTAGCCTTTCGGAGCGGCGCTGGGCTCCCCCCCCCTCCTGGCGGTGGTGGCGCTGGAGGCCCCGCCAGAACTGGTCCAGCGCCGATCCGAGAAATCCGCGCGGACCTCCGACAGTTTCTATCTCTGCGCGTTTTTTTCTAACTGATCGGGCCTCCTCTCGCCTGATTCGGGCGAGGAGAACTATGCACATACACCGATCCTGGCCAGGCCCATACTGGGCCCAGGATCGGTGTACAGACCTCTCTGGCCAAGCCACGAAGGCGTAATTATGCACCGATCGCGGGCTTTGGCCAGAGTCGGTGTGTGTGTGTGTGTGTGTGTGTGTGTGTGTGTGTGTGCATGGTTCTATTTCCTCGCTTGGTGCGATGTTGGGCCTTCGGGCCTCCGCAGGTTTGACGACTACGACCTCGTCTTCGTGATCGCGCCACAGGAGCGGCCCCCCGCCGCCCGCGCAACGCGCCCTGCGAGAGCGTACTGCAGTGTCCCCGCGGGCTGGGCTGGTCGGCCTTGTCAATGCTGCACTGCCAGGAGGGCAAGGGCAGGGGGAGAGTAGGAGGAGTAGGAGGAGGAGGAGGAGGAGGCGGAGGAGGAGGAGGAGGAGGAGGAGGAGGAAGAGAAGGAGGAGGAGGAGCAGGAGTAGGAGGCGGAGGAGGAGGAGATGGAGCAGGAGGAGGAGGAGGCGGAGGAGTTGGAGGAGGCGGTGGAGGAGGAGGAGGAGGAGGAAGGAGGAATGAGGACGGCGGAATGAGGAAGCAGGAAGGAGGAAGGAGGAAAGAGGAAGCAGGAAGGAGGGAGGAGGACGAAGGAAGGAGGAATGAGGAAGGAGGAAGGAAGGGAGTAAGGAAGGAGGAGGAGGACGAGGGGAAGGAGGAGGGACGGAGGAGGGATACGAGACTGACGACGATGATGATGATGATGATGATGATGATGATGATGATGATGATGATGATGATGATGATGCTGATGACGATGATTCGGATGCTGATGCTGCTGATGATTATGATGCTTCTACCGCTGAGGATGCTGCCGATTACGATACTGATGATGATGATGATCACGATGATGATGCTGATGATGATGAGGATGAGGATAATGATGATACTGATGATGATGGTGCTGATGATGCTGCTGATGAGTCTTATACTGATTATGCTGATGATGCTGATGATGATGCTGATACAGACGCTAATGATGATGATGATGCTGGTACTGATGCTGATGATGCTGCTGATGATGATGCTACTGATACTGCTGATGATGCTGATTCTGATGGTGCTGATGCTGATGATCCTGATACTGATGATGCTAATAGTGCTGATGATCATGTTGCTGATTATGATGGCGATGATGATGATGTCGATGCTGATTATGATGCTGATGCTGATGATGATGCTGCTGATCATGCTGATGATGCTGATGATGATGATGATGCTGATGGCGCTGATGATGCTGATGATGATAATGATGCTGCTGATGACGATTACGATGCTGATGAGGATGCTGATGATGATCATGCTGCTGATGCTGATGATGCTGATGTTGATGACGCTGATGCTGTTGATGATGATGATGATGCTGATGCTGCTGATGGTGATGATGCTGATGCTGCTGATGCTGATGATGATGATGATGATGCTGATTCTTCTGCTGATGATGATAATGATGGTGCGTCTGACGATGATGATACTGCTGATGATGATGATTGTGGTGGAAGTGGCGGTGGTGAACATGATGATGCTGCTTATGCTGATGATGCTGCTGGTGCTGATGATGATGATGCTGATGATGATGATGATGCTGATGATGATGCTGATGCTGATGATGATGATGATGATGCTGTTGCTGCTTATGATGATGATGCTAATAATGATGATGCTGATTAGTATGATGATGCTGATGACGATGCTGATGATGATTATGCTGCTGATGCTGATGATGCTGGTGGTGGTGGAGGTGGTGATGGTGTTTGTGGTGGTGCTGATACTGATGCTGATGATGGTGCTGATGAGGGTTATGCTGAAGATACTGAGTATGATGGTGGTGATGTTGGTGGTGGTGGTGATGATGCTGGTGATGATGATGATGATGATGATGATGATAATGATGGTGGTGATGGTGCTGATGATAGTGATGGTGATGACGATGCTGCTAATACTGCTGATGCTGATGATGATGGTGATGGTGACGTTGATGGTGGTGATGATGATGATGATGGTGGTGATCATGATGCTGATCCTGATGATGATGATGTTGACGATGACGATGATGATGACGATGACGACGATGATGATGCTGATGCTGATGATGATGCTGGTGATGATGATGATGGTGATTATGTGGTTGATGTCGCTGATGATGGTTTTGTGATGATGATGCTGATGATGATGTTGATGATGATGATGATGATGATGATGATGGGTGCTGCTCTGCTGCTGATGATGATTATGATGATGATGAGCCTGATCCGGAGATGATGATGTGATGAATGATGTTGATGATGATGGGAAAAAAATGGGAAAAAAAAAAAAAAAAGAATGATGATTATGATGATGATGATGATGCTGATGTGCTGATGATGACTGAGTGATGAGGAGATGATGCTATGATGATGATGATGATGATGATGATGATTATGATGATGATGATGATGATGATGATGATGATGATGATGATGATGATGATGATGATGATGCTGATGCTGATGCTGATGCTGATGCTGATGCTGATGATGATGAGGAGGAGGAGAAGGAGGAGGGAGGAGCAGGAGCAGGAGGACGAGCAGAAGGTCCGTAGCCATTTTGGCTCAAGTTGGACACATGGCCCCGTGGCTCCAGCTTGATTCGTAGCCGAGGGGCTGGCCCGAGTCCCGCAGGAGCGTCAAGCGCTGTGGATCCAGTTCGGCCTCCCAGCAGCATAATGACCCATGCAGCATCACCCTCCTCG